GACTCCAAAACGTGTCTGTCCATTTGCGGTCAACGCTAGCGCCTAAACCGTTCAGCTGAGTTTCTCGAAAATTGATATTCCCCGATCGGTTTAAATGAACTTGAGGCCCTTGAGGACTGTATAAGAAGCCTCATAATGTTTAAAAATTTCTCAAAAAATAGCACAATTTTTTTACTAAACTTTATCGTCGAATAGCGTAAAGGAAACATAGGAGAATTTGTGCACGTCTTATTTTCGTTGAAGTTCCTGATTATTAGAATATTGCATAAGTTCAATTTTTGCGTCTTCCTGTAACTACAATGTAGAGAATTTTCGTACAAATAAAATCTGTCGTTAAAAGACGTCTTGAAATTAGGTACTGTACAATTTTTCAACAATGTGAATAATTTTTGCGTAATTTTACGTGTAACATCAACATTTAAAAAAAAAATTCGCAATAACTGCTCAATTTTTTTTAAAAGTTTTTTCCTCGTATGTATCAAAAAGCCGTAATAAATATGGTACTACTCTCGTTATCGGTGAACTCACCCTAATTTTGAAATACAATTTTGTAAAAGTTTAACGTTTAACATTTCAAATGTACAAAATTGAAGGTAGGGGTTTTTGCCTTATACTCAGCCCTTTAAACAGGACATGTACACACACGTAGTCATTGCGTAATTATTGCTTCAAAGTTTGCAATTGATTGAAAAATATTATCTCAAAAAATTCTCTTAATTTTTCTTCAGCTTTTTTCACGGACAGAACAACGAACTTTCAAAAGAATTGTGCAGATCTTATTTTCTCTGAACACGTTTTCTTTGAATTGCAAATTTAGAAATAATGCGAGAAAGCATGAAATGTTTGTAAATTAACATTACTAAAAAATAGACAAAGAAAGGGCAATTGCCAGTAGTTATTGGTATTGCGGTGAGTTGTCTTTGGCATATACAATGAAATAATTATCTAAGTCGTCTTCTCCAACAATATTTATTATAAGAGCATCTTTCGATTGCTTAGCTATCATCATTTCGCAGCCCCCTTTCATTCTTCCAGTTCTTAAAATGTTCATTCTATTTTTTTAAATTTTGAGTTACTAGTAATCTATTTATCCTAATTTTGATTTTTGCCTCATGTTTTTATATATCTTGTTTTAGAAAACTGATCATAAACAATAATGTTGGCAATGACGACTCATATATTTATTTCATTAATTACCAGTAGACTTAATAAGTATAATATTGTATGGAACAAGTATATTAGAAAGCAAACCAAGAGACAAATAAACAAGACAATGGTGGGGAGTTGAGTTATGGATAAGAAATTTGGGTTCAAAAACGATGCAATAAACTCTCCGTTAAATGCCTTGGAAATGAATTTTTGGAGACGATGCTGTCGTATTGTTCTCTGATAGAAAACAATACGAAGAGTTTTGTAGTCTATCAAACAGGGTATACTGACAAATCACACTAAAAAACAGTCTTTGTATTAGCAGATGGACATGGACAGATGGGCATGGATGCAGATGGGACACAAGTGATCGAAAATGTAGGATGCAAACGTCATTGGTATGACCATCTAATGATAATGAATGCCGAGAGAATACCAAAATATGTCTTAGAGTGGATCTCTTTCGTAAGAAGAAAACGAGGAAGACTGAGGAAATCTTGGAAGCCCGTCATTGATACGACAATGAAGAACAGAAGAAGATGCCTGACGGAATAAAAAGCATTGGCGTGTAAAGTGTGAAAAACGGTCATTAGAACTATAAGAAACGCTTAATAATAATTAAAAAGTAATAAATAGCTGATCGATGGGCGTATTAGCCGAGTATTTATCACAATTTTGTGTTAAACACCCCGCCCTGCCCCTTCCGACTGATTCTCGCGTCTCGGCAACGCAGTGTTACGCATGCCTAAATGCGGGCTGCGTAGCTCCCAATAAAACACAATTTCAGGTATTAACCGGTGTAATCACGCAATAAATCAAATGTGGAATAATGTTTGGGGATCCCGAACTCCCCTTGGGTTTATGTAGGGTGGTCAGAAGTGTTAGTGCAAAGTTTGAGGGCAATCGCTCCAGTGCAGATAAAGTTGTGTAGTGCAAACACACATTCGCTCACAAGCATTCATTTGTAAATATATTTAAATAACAAGTATAGTTTTCCTTCGAGTCTTTTTTGTTATGGAGACCGAGATGAGAAGAAAACGAGCGTCAATGTCTAAAGATTGTATAATTATACAACGGGTAAAGTTCCTCCACAATAACTGGCGGGTGAAATTCTATCTTCCCGCGCGTCGCGTGCCTCCAATGATTTGGCACATAACTCTCACATACCTGCAACTTATTTTGAAGTTCACTCGCTAGTAATGGTGTGCTGAGAGGCGTAACCACGGTATGGCAGACATGGCACGTTCCTTGGGCGTCACTCACAAGGGGCGCTATTTAGAGAATACCCGCTAAAAAAAACAATCCTGATTTGAAGTATTCTGAAAGGGATCTGAAGTATTCTGAAATTCCAATACTTGCCATGGGCGTCTGAATACCTTGATACACCTCTGGGTGTGTGTACATAATCGCCGAATTTTCTTTTCGTTCCCTAGAATGACAGGATCCATCTGCTAACACACAGACAATCAACGCGTACATACTAAACAGTATGCAAGACTACTCTCTTGTAGTTTCTACTAGCCTCCCTTGCATTTTGGTGGGCAACTAATCTATTACATTTATTAGAACTGCAATTGATATGACCCGGTGGGCAGTTAATGGCAATAATTGCAAAAAATACTACAACACTTACATTAATAATAATAGGATAATAAAACAATAATAATAGTAATAATAATAATAATAATAATACTGTACAATACAGTAGAAGACGAAAGCAGCATTGAAAATGCATTGATGAGTCACCGCACTTCAACTTCACTTCACTTCACTTCACTACATTTTTTCTTTGAATTACACACTGACCAGCACTTCACAGCACTTCACCGCACTACACAGCACATACTTATTTAATATATTGTTCTTAATTTGTTTCTAAACTTCGGACACTGAGAGGAAAAGCTTTTAAAACTGGCTGCAGGTAAACTGTTCCAATCTCTGATGTTCTGTTACAAAAGGAAACATCCCAAGATCTGAATTTTGTTTCCTTGCTCGAATTATGTGGGTGTGATCGCTTCGGCCGAAATAAATTGTTTTTCTAATCTAATCTGAATTTCCTCCCAAGCTGGTTGACCTACTACGATTTATAAAGAGCGCAAAAGCCTCGCCTTTGTTCTTCTCGTTTCTAGAGGTTTCCATGACTTTTTTGTTTGCGTACTTCTATTTTAAGCTAAATGGAAACTATCTTCCTGACGCGTTGGATCACAAACCGTTACTTTCGGCCTTGGTATACGAATACTTTTTTGGCCCCTTGTTTTGACGAGCTAGAACCTTTCAGTGGTTCTATCTACTGTAAACATGTGTTTTTCTTTTGTCGTTGGTATGAACGTTTTCACACACTTCGTTTAATACGATGTTGAACATATGAATTGATAATACATAATTATTGCGTAATAGCTACAATGATTGTTAAAAATACACTAGTGTTCAAATGCTTTTTATACTCTGTACTTCCTCCGCAATGGTTATATGCTATGGTGCGTCTCAAAAGTATTTATCTTCACTGGTGACCATGAAGAGCCGGAGTTGGGGTTCGGAGTCCAATTACTGCGCGATCGATTCCTGAGCAGCACTCTTTTCCGCTATCAAGCGCATCTTTCCATCACGCAAGGCGTGTGAATAAATATTTTCGCATATATACTAGAGGTAGGTACGAACTATTTTCTACAAAGTACATTATTTTAGGATGAAAGAACATACCAGTGTGTTCCTCAGTGAAGCGCTGTTCAGTTCGGGAGGTCATTTGCGAACAGCGAGTGAGCTACAATTCTGACGGCCGGATGCCTGAATAATGTTCTAAGGTCTAAAATCCGGCACGATCACTGTACCGCGTAAAATGCAGGTCTGTCGTAATATGCATCCCAAATTCTTTAATTGACGAATTTGCATTTATCGTCTAGGCATTCAATAATAAAAGAAAAAAATATTCAGGAATTTTACTCATTGCACCACAAACTTCTGAAGAAGATAGATGGCCATAAAAGAAATAGTTATAGAGAAATCGCAACTGCTTTGTAGAACCGCAGCTTTTTTTAGCAAACTGGTACAAGAAACATTTTGTCCATCTAATTGAGTACAACACGGTAGAATGTCTTGTTTTCCACCTGAAATGACACTCACCTCCATTTAAATGAAAATGCCAGCGATCAGCGTCAGCGACCCTATAATTTCAGCACTCTTGGCGGACGTTCGGTGAAGCGATGGCCGCCTTGTTTTTTGCAGTCAAGACATTAGAGGTTTCTAATGGTGGCGTGTAGAACTTTTGTTCTGAATCAAAGTGTTGTTTGTTTCTGAAGTTATTTCTATATTGTTGTCTCTTCGTTGATCTGTATTTCAATTATATTAGTAGTGAGAATTATAATATGCACAATGCCTTCAGCATGTTTGGCATATAAATGTAAAAATAGAAGTCATCAAACTTTAAATACATAATTTTGAAGTTTGTCGCCTTATTTGTGATGTTTGCTTCTTTTTGCAATAACAATCACTTTTAGGCGTTATGCCTACTCGCACAATAACATTTCAACATCTTCCATTCTTATGACAATAATTGGCGCGAGAATTAACGTTTTTAAAGTTTCTAAATTCGTTCTCCTTACATATTGTTTTCAAATGATTGGTTTTTGGCCGTATTACCCGAGTAAGACGATTTACATTACGCGCCGACCCGACCTTAACCAGCGTCAAATGGGGTATTAGAATTCTCTGTTTCTTCAGAGGGTGCTGATTTGACTGTAAACAACATGGTTTCAAAAATGGCGGTGCCTTAGCCACTCTATGTATTGTAACTCGTTGGAGCTGCCGCAGGGGTCCGCCCGCCGCTGAGCTGCGCGCGCGCGCTGTGTGCGCAGAGGAGGGCGGGCACTCGTCGGGGCAGCACGAGCCCATCTTCGTGGAGGTGGGCGAGGAGCTGCACATCCGCGTGTCGGTGCAGGAGTACGTGCTGGCCGACCGGCCCCAGCAGCGCTGCAACGCCACCGCCGGCTACAGCTACGTCGAGGTGAATGGGAAAGGGCCTTTGCCTTGCTTTCAACTGGCAATAACCACTCCTCAGGAGGCCTTCATTGGTTGTTACAACGGCTGTACAAGCTGTGTAACTATATAACGGTTGTATCAAATAGTAGAGAATGGAAACTATCAGAGTTGGCTCATCTGACGTGTACCTAGAGCTGCCCTATTGTCGAATAGGAGGCCTTTACCCGGAAGGTATTGATTTGGGCTTGTTGTTATATTATTATTATTATTATTATTATTATTATTATTATTATTATTATTATTATTATTATTATTATTAATTTGTATTTATTATTAACGTGTTCTTTAATTTGATGTAACAGAATCCAAGGCCCCAAAGGGCGGGGGCTCTTGAGGCTTCACCCCCCTCCCAAATAAACAGATAACTTATATTCAGAATTATCCGAAAGTCAGTTAAAAAGTTATGCGTGTTGTTCTGCTTAAAAATTGTAAACTGAAAATTTGAATTTGGTACTGTTCTTCAAACCTTCTACAATCTGCTGTAGTAGCAACTTTCTGCCTCAACATGTGGAAGCACAGCAGTCGCTTACAATATGGCTGACATCGATGTTCATATGAGACAGCGTAGTGTGGTTCAATTCTTGAATGTAGAAGGTGAAATACTCTTTCGCAGGCATGAAAGACTGAAAATGTGTTAGGTTGTGCAACAGTGGATGACACTGCTAGATGACACTGTTTGTCGTGTCAAAGCTGAACGGCAAACACCGTTGGCTGACGAAAAGTGCAGCGGCCTATTAGTGGCTGCAGATGAATTGAAGGAGATAATACCACTCAATTTATCTGCAGTCAGCGACGAACCCATCGTCTAACAGTGCTGTCCTCACTGTATACATTTTTCAGTCTCATGAAGGCGTTTGGGTATTAAAACTTCTGCATACATGACTTTTTAGAATTTCAAGATGTTTTATCGATTTCGCAATTTTCTATCGTCAAATCGCCAATTTGTAGCGCATTATACAATACTTTCTCTTCTTACGAAGAAAGTCGGGGAGTCAGTGTACTGACTAATGTGATGACATGGCACACCAGAACGTTTAACCTTTGTTCTTTTTCCCCATGTTTGCGATAATGAAGAGGCTCATATTCGTACCTTATTGACATGAAATGGCCTTATTTAATTATCTGTAAGATCTATTTTATTAACACTTCAGCAAGGGGACCCACTGGGTATTATTTTAGCTTCTTTCTTTAAATTAAACGTAATGCCTTCTTTACAACCGGAAGACATGTTGAGTTTGCGTAACTGGAATGTCCTTTGCAACAAGCGTCTGCATAACCGTCCGTTCTCTAGCCTCCATGGCTGAAGGCATGGAAAGATTTAAAACATTATTAACATTAATTGTTCACATACAATAAGATAAATACGCACTGATAATTATTAGAAGTTAATTCTTGACAAAAATTATAAAAAGAGTAATTCAGAAGTTGTTTGCTGTATTAGTTAGACCTGATAGGTGCATATTATCCAGAAAATAATGAATTCCAGAAAATTACGTAATAATTTGAAGTTGCCGTGTTTGAGTCCTATTGGATGTATTTTTATGAAAATGTTTCTGTGACATAATTTTTAATGTATTGATAATGTAATCTATATAAAACGCGTACATTTTCTACTAGCATTTTGTAAACGAATCAGTAAAAGTGAGAGAAATTAGAATTTACTATTACCTTCGAATGTATTGCGCATATGAGCATGGTGTTCCCCAGGGTTCGAGTTCAGGTCCTAACCTCTTCCTTCAGCATGCAAACGATAAGCCCTCCAATGTTAGAAAGGGAATACCAATTTTGTGCATACGCTGCTGTTCTGGTTGACCGGGCGCATGTGTGAGCGCAGTGCCGGGCGCTGTGCTTCTGGGAGCGGCTGGCGGGGGAGGCGGGCTGCTCGGCGCCCTGGCTGCCCCTCGACCCGCGCGCCCACCCGCACTGCGCCTCCGCCCAGGGCCACCGCGCGCTGCTCGTCGGCTACCTCAAGTGAGTCGCTCGCGCACGCACACACACACACACGCGCGCGCGCGCGCTCCAAGCGGCAATACAAGACGGACGGTTGTAATTCACTTTTTTATTTATTTATTGAAGGTCGCTTTTCAACTTTTAATATCATACAGCATGGGTAACGGTATAGTACACACACACAAACATCTATGCACCGTGTGGAATTCGGACCCGCGTCCCTTCAGACACGAGGCAGGTACGGCTTTAGCGACCTCGGCTATTGAGGTCGGGGTAGTTGGCTTTGTTATGCATGCATTTGGTGTTTTAAGGTTAGGTTAATCTGACTTTTGCCAACTAACGATGTTCCCAGATTTGGGCTTTGTTTTAACTCGGTTTCCTTATCCACGCCCGGAGGTAAGGGAGACTGTGGCGAGCGTGACGTTTTCCCATCAACGTACCTAACTTATTTGGCCTGTCGACCTTGCTTTTGTCACACAGCTGTAGAAACTGAGACGATTTTTATTTGAAAGCTACAACTTCATGTCTGAAATCAATTCCGGGACTGCCTCACAGAAAGCTAGCATGCCCATGAGCCATCTGACGGGCCTGAATTTATTATTATTATTATTATTATTATTATTATTATTATTATTATGATTATTATTATTATTACTATAATTATTATAATGTTTCCTTTACATTACAACTAAGATGTTATGAGCCGGCTGAATATAAAATCTATTCCAGGTTGCAACCAACTACCCAAGGAGCAGATCTAGTGACAGTCGTTGCGTCTACAATACTTTGCGCAAAACTTAGGCTGTTTCTAATACTCGTAAAGCAATTTCTTGCACTTACCAGTCTTTTGAATGACCTGGGAGTTTACCAAAGTTCTCACACAAATTTTTCGGAACAAATCCCAGACCTCCGATGACTATCGGTACGACGTGTGGTTTTACAGCCCACATTCGGTTCATCTCGATTTCCAAACACTTGTATTTAAACGTTTCTCTACCTCCTAGGTTACGACGTTTCGATCGCAAGGCACTGCAACATTTACAAATACACCCAATTTTTCTCCAAATGACGGATAACAATATCCGGTTTGTTTGTTGCTATTATGCGATGCGTTTGAATTTGTTGGCCGTACAATATTGTAGAGTTCAAGAGATGTCACCAGTTTAGGTGAGTGTTCGTATCACGTGGGGCATGTTTTGGATCTTCGAGGGCGGTACAGATCTGTTAGTGGATGATACTCACCTTGTGTCTTTTCAAGTATTCGGTCTTTGCTAGAATTTGACAAGCTGAGACGATATGATCAATGGTTGTTCCTGGCAGATGCGCCGTTTATCATCTTGGAAAATTTTGGGAACCGCTTTATCATTATGTGTTCTCAATGCCTGAGTCTGCCTAGCTGAGAGAACCGCTTCCATTTCTGGCTTCATTATTCCCCTTTTAAGCCACATAAGTGATTGATCTGCACATTGTCGATTCTTTTTAGGTATTTTTCATGGAGTGGTTTGTCTCTACACGATTTCTTTAACATATTTTGTGTCTCACATTTCATGTTTAGCTCAATCAGAAGAGTTATTGTGCGTGTCTTGCATAGTTTTCTTTGCAATGCTTCTTGCTACACTAACAATGCCTCTGATTCCCATTCTTCGGTCAGATTTCATTACCTGCCTCATTAGAGGGTCATTTGATAACTTACTACATACTTTCTCATCCCGACTATTGCATTGTGCCAAGAGGCTTCAATTTTTCTGAGGCCTCTTCCTTCTTCCTTACGTGATACATTAAATCTATAAGTACATCGAATCGAGAGTGGGCGAGATGTCGTTATTATTTTTCTGGTTTTTTGCTCCTTTATTCGAATTTCTTGCTCAGTCCAGTCCACGAGTTCGAATCTGTACTCGACAACAGGAACCGCTAAACTACCAATTGTAGATGTTTAATTCGTGGAGTCCAGGGTAGACTGCAGGACGAGTTTCACTCTTCTGTACTATCCCTTTCAATTTTCTCTTTCATTGTGTCGTTCGATATGTTCTCACATTCTTCAATGCCCAGATATTTTTGTAAGTTTTACCTGGTTGAAGATCGTGAACCACAGTATGCATAATAAACTTCAATGCTCTCTGACGATTTAATTTTGCCTCTCTTTAAATTTATTTTTTTACACTTGTCAAAACCAAAGTTCATGTAGATGTCATTGCTAAAGTCATTCACGACATACAGCATTTGGAAGAGAATCGCTTCATTCTTAGCATGCACTTTATGATCATCCGTGTAAAATAAATATGAAACTGGAGTTCCATCACCACGGAGCTCGTAACCAAAGTCATCTTTTATTATTGTTTATTATTATTATTATTATTATTATTATTATTATTATTATTATTATTATTATTTCTTTATTGTCGAAATATTAGTAAATGGGTGAGTCCAAATGAAAACATTGATTTATAGACTAACCTCGGAAAATATGATACGAAAAGAACATTATTATTATAGTAAGTAGTATTAGTTATAACTGAGATTTTTAGCGGTGTGAGACCAGAAAGACAGAAGAGAGGAAGACCCAGACTTGCATGGCACCAGGGAGTGCAAGAGGCTATGACGGCAAGAGAAATGCCAGATGATCTATGGTCCAATAGAGAGGCATGGAGACTGAGAGCGGAGAAACGGCGACAGCTGTAGAGCAACTCCGTACTATATATATATATATATATATATATATATATATATATATATATATATATATATATATATATATATATATATATATATATAGTATTAGTTTAACGCTCTGGCCACAAAAGAAATCAAATAAAAGACACACCATATGTTATAATGGTGAAATAAAATAGAAGATAATAAGTACACAATATGAAATATGAATACGTAACATTGCTATTTCTATTTTGTATCACATATAACATATTGCAATCATATTGTATTTTTATGTAAAACAGTAATCTTTAAACAATTTTCTGTCATTAAAATAAAAGACCAAAAACATTCTTTTAAGTTGAGAAATCTATGGAAAAAAAGAAAATAATTTTAATTGGGATATTAATTCAAATTAAACCGCGTTGAACATACAGTGTTGCAATTTATTTTCTTAAAAACGTAACATTCAAGATGAATAATGTATCGTCTGTTCATTTAACAACAGGTTTCGTGAGATATCCTTGTTGATTCACTCATATACTTTTTGGATTCATACATAATATTTACATTTGTCGCTTAATCTATTCATCAATCTAGACTTTCGCCTACCACCATTGAAAATGGAAATGCTTTCAGCCATTCGCTCCCTAATTTTATGCTCACAAATATATCAGTCTCCCATACTTAAATTTATCAAATTGTAATCATCCCATTCTGCAGAATGCCATTCTCATTATCTGTCACTATTTCTAACCTCTTTTATCTAACATTCAGCGTAATAATATAGCCTTACCAAATCAACATTCAATCATTACCATCCTCGCGTGATATAATACAAGTAATAAACAACTACCTGCTTTTTACATTGTAAATTAATCAATGATGCATCTAATAGAAACCACATTAAAAAATTTACACAGATATAACTTATTACATTATTAATAACAAAGAGTATCACATTTCTGACTGGGAACCGTGCCTGGTACCTTTTTGTTTAATTATTCTCCTGAATTTACTGTTTCCAATTTCACCCGACAGTTGGCCGAAGGTTATCCCAAGATCGCCCCGTCACGATCAAAATTTATAAATGTGTGAGTCTGATATGCAGTCTGTACTGATACTCGGTAGCGAAATATTTTCGTAAAGTAATTTGTTTGTTTCCTAGAATTGGGAACTCTCTGTTTTTTACTCATAAATATTAATACTTATTTATGAACATTTCATTAAATATTAAGCTGTGAATCATATATATCGTACAAATTTAGTATTTGAAAACTACAATAATAACAATTTTCGTAACAACAATCTTTCATGAATTCTCTTTCTCAAATACTCGCTACTTTTTACATGCATGGCCAAATTTTCTCGTAATCATTATTTAGAAATCTTACTGTAATACAAAACTTGATCTTACTTAAATGGCAAATACAAATAAATGTTCCCCGTTTTGCTACTTTCCTTTCGGAGATCCGCTGTAAACTTGAACGTCACGTCGTCCAGTATCCATTCAGCCTCCATTTCCAAAGAATTCGGTGTTCTTTATTGAAGTTCGCGTCCTCCCAACAAGTAATTATAGTTCCTCGTAATTGTACTCCCTTACTTCCTTAAAACATCGCCTTTGCAGAATCACAATTCAGTCTAATTCTTCCCGTAACCACATAGCTTTCCGTTTCACATGTGACTCACACCGTGTCCGAACATCGTCTGCCTAGTTTTTTTGATCTCGCGCGCCCTTCATCTGTCTCTCATCCTTGCAATTGCACTCAAACAGGTTTCTTCTTCGTTTCTTTTCTGTACCCCCATTGTTGCTGTGGGCCATATTTATATTTACGTTAATTTATTGTAATAACCCATCCCACATTATTTATTTAATTTATCAAAATTAACTTATTTAATGTCCACGTTACTTTCAGTTTGCATATTTTAATAGATATTCAATTTGAAAATAAAATATTAATATTAGTATTTATATATCACATAAACTCCTAATGTATTATTTAATATTTTTATATTAGAAATAATATGAATGGTGCCAAATTTAATTATATTTTTAAAATACGTAAATAAATATATCTATTTAAGCAAGTGGAAGAAGTTATGTTGCGAGAATTAAGATCAATTTTAGCGCCCAAAAAGAATGAACTATTTTGGGGAATTATTTAAGTTACAGCAAGTTTTAACAGATTTACCGCCTAGTTCTTCTGCTAAGAATGTAGCCATCATCATCAGTTTTCTGCTGTATGGAAGCCACAAACCGACTAGATAGTGTGATAGCTAGTTGGCTAAACCATCGAAAGCTGCTATTATAATAAACAATATTGGTGGCGATGACGACTCATATAATTATTTCATTGTAAATGCCAACGATACCT